TAATTTTAATCTTAGTACGGTTTCTCTTTTTAAGGGAAGGGGATACTGATACTTTGTATCATTTTAAATTATTGTACGCCGCTTTGATTGTTTGTACAAAAAGCGGGATATAAGGAAAAGTTTTATTTATTTATTTTTAATCCTAGCCCATGGGGAATTACAGGGGAATGCTACTAGTATTCCCTTATGATTCCCTATGGGAAAGTATGGCTTCCCTCAAAGGGCAAGTACTGTCCTTTGTTTTTTAGACCGTCCCTTGTGTGAGAGCGCAACGGAAGGCTTTGAAAAGCCAAAGTTTCCTTACTGGTGGCAGCAACGATAAGAGAAGAGAGCGTCCCTCTCTCGTTTCTTCACCGCCACAGGAAGTAGGCCGCGGCCGGGAAGCCCTGAGGGAAAGCAACGCTAACAACGAAGCGTCACCACACCAGTAACGACGCGCCTCCTAAACGCCCTTTCCTGGCAACAGCGACGTCACGCTCCAAGCACGCGCCACAGCCCCCCCCCCGTTGCCAAGGGAGACGGAGAGAGAGAGAGCGCTCGCGCGCATGGTCCTAACGGCCGCGTTCTTACCTCCTTCCCCCCTCCCCCCCCGCTGCCGCCAAGGGTCTCTCCTTACCATAGAGACACTCCTCGCGAGTGTAACAGAGCGTCGTAAACAAGAACCCGGAAGTGTGCCGTAAAGACGGTTTAGCCCCGCCGCTCTACGGAAGGGAGGAGGGGAAAGGGGAAAATCAGCACCCCTCCCGCCCTTAAGAAGGGGAGAAAATGGCGGAAATGGAGTGAGTGGCTTCTTTATATGGGAGGCTGGGGCACGGGTAGAGGGCTCTGGAAGGAGAGGTGTGTTGTTGTTTTTCAAGTCGTTTCTCACTTACGGCGATCCTATCCAGGGGTTTTCTTGGCAAGATTTCTTCAGAGGATGTTTGCTATTGCCTTCCCCTGAGGCTGAGAGAGTGTGACTTATGGCGATCTCTATCTTGGGGTTTTCTTGGCAAGATTTCTTTAGGAGTTTGACATTGTCTTCCCCTGAGGCTGAGAGAGTGTGACTTATGGAGACCCTGCCATGGGGTTTTCTTGGCACAATTTCTTCAGAGGAGTTTGCCACTGCCTTCCCCTGAGGCTGAGAGAGTGTGACTTATGACAGTCTATCTTGGGGTTTTCTTGGCAAGATTTCTTTGAGGGAGGTTAACATTATCTTCCCCTGAGGCTGAGAGAGTGTGACTTGTGGCGATCCTACCCTGGGTTTTCTTGGCAAAGTTTTTTTAGAGAGAGTTTGACATTGTCTTCCCTGAGGCTGAGAGAGCGTGACTTGCCCAGAGTCACTCAATGGGTTTCCATTGCTGACGGGGATTTGACTTCTGGTCTCCAGCATCATAATCCAATGCTCAGACAGCTACACCATGCTTTCTCTCAGGGTTTGCCATAAATCAGAAATGACTTGACAGCAAACTCCAGTATTGAATCTCCAGTCAGATATAACCTCCTTGGATCATGGGCTTTCCTTTTCCCATGCAATATGTTCAAATTATGCTGATTAGAGGCATTTCTGATTTGGTCAAAATCTGCAGAATTTGGATCAAGACCAACAGTAGCATAAAATTATGTTAGTATGAAAGATATAGCTGTGTTAGTCTGTAGAATTAGTACATAGGGAGATCTTGTAGTACCTTTGAGATTCACTGAATGAAGTTGGCAGCATGAATATTCATAGACTTAAGTCTCCCTCCCCAAATGCATCTGAGGAAGTAGACTTAAGTGTATGAAAGCTAATGCTGCCAACTTTTTTCTTTAGTTAGTCTCAAAGGTGCTACAAGATCTTTCTACATTATGTTACCATAGCTTGACTTACAACAGGACCTGTCCTTTGCTGTCGTTGTGTGTCTTCAGGTTGTTTCCAGTTTTGGGTAAACCTAAGGGGAACCTACCGATCATGGGGTTTCCTTGGCAAGATTTGTTTAGAGGAGGTTTGCCATTGCCTCCCCCTGAGGCTGAGAGAGTGTGACTATTACTAATAGTTTGTTGTGTGTCCAATTCATTTCTAACTTACAGCGACCCTAAGGCAAACCTATAATAATAATAATAATAATAATAATAATAATAATAATAATAATAATAATTTTTATTTATGTTTCCCGCCTCTCCCTATGGATCGAGGCGGGATTACACAATAGAATGTACACAGAGTACAAAATATAAACATTAAAAAATAAAATAGAGCATCAATAATAAATTCTACAAAAGTAGAATACAATATAATAAAATAAATAAAAATAAAATAAATAAAATAAAATAGCCAATCGTCGTCAAACCTAGAAATCAGTTTTGAAATAATACTATGGAGGTTTGCTAAGAAGATCAGATGGATA